TTGTTTTCGCGCCGGCGCAGTGAGGGAATAAACACTGAGTTTAGGGCAATAGGTTCGTCGCTCTGCTTCTAGTCACGAGGAGCAACCAAAAATTCTGACATGCCAGAAATTCATTGTTTTTCCCTTTCTTTTTCACATCTTGTCCACGTCTTTCTTGTTCACGACGTCAGGTCTAAAAGAAAAATGAAATCAAGAGAAATTACAAATGAGAGACAAATGCGAAATAAGTGAAGCACAAAGTCGAGATCACTGACAAGTTCAATTTATAGTTTTCACGTGACATCACACCATTAAAAGAACGCCACCTGGGGGGCAAAACAAGGCTTTCCTCCATTGCCCGCCAGTTTTTTTTTTCACTGCAAATGCATTGCGTTAATATTCCTGGCTCATTTGCTCACCTGTATATGGTATGTGTTATCAACAAGGTAAATTAGATTTTTTTATATCACTGTTTTAGTACATTAAGGCACTTGAAGGGTGGGTTGCACTAATAAGGATTCTGAATCCTGGCGTCAGTTCACCCTCCGCCTATGTTGCTTGATCAGCCCTTTAATTCTAACGGTATTTCTGAGTGGTTAATCTGTGTTTAAAATTAAGTGGTGAAACACAACTCGATTTCAAATAAATCAACAAATCCTCGATTAACGGTAAACTTTGCTTAACTGAATCCTTATTGGTGCAACCGATCCTTAAGCCCTATTTGCGTGGTATTAGTATTACATGGGGACCACGTGTGGTTTAGAAATTACAGACATGGCCAATTCGCAAGTTATTAAGATCACAGACAACCTTTGCAATTATTACAAATGACTAGAGGTCACCAGGTTATATTTATCCCGTGCGAATAGGGCTTAAGTGTTTTAGGTTAAGCGTTTTAGAATGTCCCGCTGTTTTTAGTGATTGAAATACTGTAGCAGTTGCTGTATATGGAACATAAGTGCCCAAAACTTGCATCTTGTTTACATATTTATAGAAAATTGACAGGCCTGTGATGCAGTTCTAAGGCTGTTTTGCCCTCCAGGGCTCTGCGACAAACACGTGACTGAAAACTATGAATGGTCATTTTAATCCCATCAAATCTGGTCAGCAATCACATTGTTTCATAGACAACACAAGCTGATTGGCCTCTAAGCTATGCAAAAATGTGAGAATTTGTTGACAGACGGCCGTTTCACAACAAACGTCAAACAAATATGTGTTGGACTGAAGGAAAAGCAAAGTCACGCCTATTCAACAGAGGGCGATACATGCAGTGACCTTTCAGCCGTCGTAAAAGTATCTGCCAAGGGCATAAATGTAAATGTCTCACATGGCAAAAGTGTGACTTTCAATGGACTATTTTAAACAAACAACTTGCTAATCATGACTTGCTCATCAGGGGCGTGTCTAGAGGGGTGGTACTAGTCTGAGTACTAGTCTGATTACTTTCATGTGTGACTGATCAAGCTATTGTATGTCGCCATTAGCCTAACGTATTAGCTAACGTAACCTCGGCAGATAGAGATGACTTGTCAGTGTTATTCCGCGGTAGCGCATAAACATTAAAACAACAGATAAAGTAATATTATCTATTTTATATTTAAGACTGAAGGCACAATAATCTTATTAAAGCTGTGGCGTGGTAAACATTAAAACGTGAGAGCGTTAACTAACACCATAGCTACATGCAACTCTGTGTAATTTAGATACTTAATGGGTTTTTGTTTTATTTTACACAGCAACAGGACATCCAAGGTTCCTTTAAGAAGAAAACATGTCAGAGACAGATTTCATGCTGAGAACGTTCTCTCTCTCACACACACACACAGTGTGTTGAGAATAAAGCATGTTAAATGACTAATTAATGCCCATGTCATGTTTGAATTTATCTGACAAAGTTTATAGCTTACTGGTCAGAACATTCCCCAGATCCTGAGATCACTACTGCGCAGACTGGGGTCCCGAAATAACTACTGCAGTGACTGGGGCCCCGAGACCACTACTGCACAGACTTGGGTCCCGAGATCACTGCTGCGCAGACTGGGGTCCCGAGATCACTGCTGCACAGACTCGGGTCCCGAAATCACTACTGCACAGACTCGGGTCCCGAGATCACTACTGCACAGACTGGGGTCCCGAGACCACTACTGCGCAGACTGGGGTCCCGAGATCACTACTGCGCAGACTGGGGTCCCGAAATCACTACTGCAGTGACTGGGGCCCAGAGACCACTACTGCACAGACTTGGGTCCTGAGATCACTGCTGCGCAGACTGGGGTCCCGAGATTACTGCTGCGCAGACTGGGGTCCCGAGATCACTGCAGCGCAGACTGGGGTCCCGAGATTACTGCTGCGCAGACTGGGGTCCCGAGATCACTGCTGCGCAGACTGGGGTCCCGAGATCACTACTGCGCAGACTGGGGTCCAGAGATCACTACTGCGCAGACTCGGGTCCCGAAATCACTACTGCACAGACTTAGGTCCCGAGATTACTACTGCAGTGACTGGGGTCCCGAGACCACTACTGCACAGACTGGGGTCCCGAGACCACTACTGCGCAGACTCGGGTCCCGAGATCACTACTGCGCAGACTGGGGTCCCGAGACCACTACTGCACAGACTGGGGTCCCGAGATCACTGCTGCGCAGACTGGGGTCCCGAGACCACTACTGCGCAGACTGGGGTCCCGAGATCACTGCTGCGCAGAATGGGGTCCCGAGATCACTACTGCACAGACTCGGGTCCCGAGATCACTACTGCACAGACTCGGGTCGCGAGATCACTACTGCACAGACTCGGGTCCCGAGATCACTACTGCACAGACTGGGGTCCCGAGACCACTACTGCACAGACTCGGCACTACTACACAGACTCGGGTCCCGAGACCACTACTGCACAGACTCGGGTCCCGAGACCACTACTGCACAGACTCGGGTCCGAGATCACTACTGCACAGACTCGGGTCCCGAGACCACTACTGCACAGACTCGGGTCCCGAGACCACTACTGCACAGACTCGGGTCCCGAGACCACTACTGCACAGACTCGGGTCCCGAGACCACTACTGCACAGACTCGGGTCCCGAGACCACTACTGCACAGACTCGGGTCCCGAGACCACTACTGCACCGACTCGGGTCCCGAGATCACTACTGCACAGACGGGGGTCCCGAGATCACTACTGCACAGACTCGGGTCCCGAGACCACTACTGCACAGACTCGGGTCCTGAGACCACTACTGCACAGACTGGGGTCCCGAGATCACTGCTGCGCAGACTGGGGTCCCGAGATCACTGCTGCGCAGACTGGGGTCCCGAGACCACTACTGCGCAGACTGGGGTCCCGAGATCACTGCTGCGCAGAATGGGGTCCCGAGATCACTACTGCACAGACTCGGGTCCCGAGATCACTACTGCACAGACTCGGGTCGCGAGATCACTACTGCACAGACTCGGGTCCCGAGATCACTACTGCACAGACTCGGCACTACTACACAGACTCGGGTCCCGAGACCACTACTGCACAGACTCGGGTCCTGAGACCACTACTGCACAGACTCGGGTCCGAGATCACTACTGCACAGACTCGGCACTACTGCACAGACTCGGGTCCCGAGACCACTACTGCACAGACTCGGGTCCCGAGACCACTACTGCACAGACTCGGGTCCGAGATCACTACTGCACAGACTCGGGTCCCGAGACCACTACTGCACAGACTCGGGTCCCGAGATCACTACTGCACCGACTCGGGTCCCGAGATCACTACTGCACCGACGGGGGTCCCGAGATCACTACTGCACAGACTCGGGTCCTGAGACCACTACTGCACAGACTCGGGTCCTGAGACCACTACTGCACAGACTCGGGTCCGAGATCACTACTGCACAGACTCGGCACTACTGCACAGACTCGGGTCCCGAGACCACTACTGCACAGACTCGGGTCCCGAGACCACTACTGCACAGACTCGGGTCCCGAGATCACTACTGCACCGACTCGGGTCCCGAGATCACTACTGCACAGACGGGGGTCCCGAGATCACTACTGCACAGACTCGGGTCCTGAGACCACTACTGCACAGACTCGGGTCCTGAGACCACTACTGCACAGACTCGGGTCCGAGATCACTACTGCACAGACTCGGCACTACTGCACAGACTCGGGTCCCGAGACCACTACTGCACAGACTCGGGTCCCGAGACCACTACTGCACAGACTCGGGTCCCGAGACCACTACTGCACAGACTCGGGTCCCGAGACCACTACTGCACCGACTCGGGTCCCGAGATCACTACTGCACAGACGGGGGTCCCGAGATCACTACTGCACAGGGGTCCCGAGATCCCTACTGCACAGACTCAGATCCCGAGATCACTACTGCACAGACTCAGGTCCCGAGATCACTACTGCACAGACTCAGGTCCCGAGATCACTACTGCACAGGGGTCCCGAGATCAATACTGCACAGACTGGGGTCCCGAGATCACTGCTGCGCAGACTGGGGTCCCGAGATCACTGCTGCGCAGACTGGGGTCCCGAGATCACTACTGCACAGACTCTGGTCCTGAGATGTCTTTTTATATTCTTGACCTGAAACAATGTAAATCTCAATGAATGAATGAGGAATCAAGAAAAAACATTAACCTCTTTGTTCTTTCAGAATCATGATATTTCAGTTTCTTAAATTGTTTTTGATGATCAAAACAAACTTTAATTAACTAGGGCTGCAAGAACTAATTGATAAAATCCATCATGAAAATAATCAACAACCAAACTAATTATAGATAATTCCTGTATGTCCAATCATGTCAATTTACAGCAGTGAAAAACATTTCTATGGACAAAGCGCATTGAAAAATAACATGGTTGGTGAGCACAGGAACCATGTTATTTCTTTAAATTTTATTATAAATGTGTGTTTACGTCAATCAAATTGCTTTTACGTCACTTAGCAAGCTACAAAAACCTTTTCTGGAGGTGAAAAAGCAGGGGTTTTTTCTCAACACAAAGATAAACTACTTACCATGATCTCAGACTGTGGTGAAGTGGTTTCTCTACTGCATGGATCTTCATGTGTAGCTTCAGGGGAGTTTTAAAACAGAATCTAATTCCACACTGATCACACGTGTGCGGCTTCTCTCTGGTGTGGATCCTCTCATGTGTTTGCAGAGATGATAAGTCACTGAATCTCTTTTCACAATGTGAACACGTGTAAGATTTTTCTCCAGTGTGGATCCTCTCATGTGTTTTCAGAGTTCCTGAACGACTGAATCTCTTGTCACAGTGTGAACACTTGTAAGGTTTTTCTCCAGTGTGGATCCTCTCATGTGTTCTCAGAGATGATGAGTGACTGAATCTCTTGTCACAGTGTGAACACTTGTGAGGTTTTTCTCCAGTATGGATCCTCTCATGTTTTTTCAGATGTGATGACAGACTGAATCTCTTGTCACAGTGTGAGCACTTGTAAGGTTTTTCTCCAGTATGGATCCTCTCATGTTTTTTCAGATGTGATGACAGACTGAATCTCTTGTCACAGTGTGAACACTTGTAAGGTTTTTCTCCAGTGTGGATCCACTCATGTTTTTTCATATGTGATGACAGACTGAATCTCTTGTCACAGTGTGAACACTTGTAAGGTTTTTCTTCAGTGTGGATCCTCTCATGTGATCTCAGAGATGATGAGTCACTGAATCTCTTGTCACAATGTGAACACGTGTAAGGTTTTTCTCCAGTGTGGATCCTCTCATGTGTTTTCAGATTTGATGACCGACTGAATCTCTTGTCACAGTGTGAACACTTGTTAGGTTTTTCTCCAGTGTGGATCATCTCATGTGTTTTCAGATGTGATGAGTGATTGAATCTCTTGTCACAGTGTGAACACTTGTATGGTTTTTCTCCAGTGTGGATCCTCTTGTGTGTTTTCAGAGATGATGACCGACTGAATCTCTTGTCACAGTGTGAACACTTGTTAGGTTTTTCTCCAGTGTGGATCCTCTCATGTGTTCTCAGAGATGATGAGTGACTGAATCTCTTGTCACAGTGAAAACACTTGTTAGGTTTTTCTCCAGTGTGGATCCTCTCGTGTGTTTTCAGAGATGATGACACACTGAATCTCTTGTCACAGTGAGAACACTTGTAAGGTTTTTCTCCAGTGTGGATCCTCTGGTGCTGTTTTAAACCGTCCGCCGTAGTAAAAGTCTTCTCACACTCAAAGCACATGTACTCTCTTACACCAGAGTGAATTTTCTCATGTGTATGTAAATATTGCAGCAGTGAAAAACTCTGTCCACACACAGAACATGAATGCGGCTTCTCCTTCGTATGAACTCTCTGGTGTGTCTTCAGCTCTGATGCCCTAAGAAATGTTTTTCCACATTGATCACATGAGTACGGCTTCTCTCCAGTGTGAATTCTCATGTGAATCTTAAGACTTCGTTTGCTTGTGAGACTCTTTCCACACTGAGTGCAGGTGAAAGATTTCTGGGCTCTTCTTTTCTTTAAAAATTTATTTTTAGTCTTTGAGCGACTCAAGGGTTTTCCTCCAGGTTGTACATGATGTTCCTCCTCCACTTCACTCAGTTCTTCACTCTCCTCCGTCACTTCACTCAGTTCTTCACTCTCCTCCGTCACTTCACTCAGTTCTTCACTCTCCTCCTCCACTTCACTCAGTTCTTCTCTCTCCTTCTTCACTTCACTCAGTTCTTCACTCTCCTCCTCCACTTCACTCAGTTCTTCACTCTCCTCCTTCACTTCACTCAGTTCTTCTCTCTCCTCCTTCACTTCACTCAGTTCTTCTCTCTCCTCCTTCACTTCACTCAGTTCTTCTCTCTCCTCCTTCACTTCACTCAGTTCTTCTCTCTCCTCCTTCACTTCACTCAGTTCTTCTCTCTCCTCCTTCACTTCACTCAGTTCTTCTCTCTCCTCCTTCACTTCACTCAGTTCTTCTCTCTCCTCCTCCACTTCACTCAGTTCTTCTCTCTCCTCCTCCACTTCACTCAGTTCTTCTCTCTCCTCCTTCACTTCACTCAGTTCTTCTCTATCCTCCTTCACTTCACTCAGTTCTTCTCTCTCCTCCTCCACTTCACTCAGTTCTTCTCTCTCCTCCTTCACTTCACTCAGTTCTTCTCTCTCCTCCTTCACTTCACTCAGTTCTTCTCTCTCCTCCTTCACTTCACTCAGTTCTTCACTCTCCTCCTTCACTTCACTCAGTTCTTCTCTCTCCTCCATTTCACTCAGTTCTTCTCTCTCCTCCTTCACTTCACTCTCCTCCTTCACTTCACTCAGTTCTTCTCTCTCCTCCTTCACTTCACTCAGTTCTTCTCTCTCCTCCTTCACTTCACTCAGTTCTTCTCTCTCCTCCTTCACTTCACTCAGTTCTTCTCTCTCCTCCTTCACTTCACTCAGTTCTTCTGTCTCCTCCTTCACTTCACTCAGTTCTTCTCTCTCCTCCTTCACTTCACTCAGTTCTTCTCTCTCCTCCTTCACTTCACTCAGTTCTTCTCTCTCCTCCACTTCACTCAGTTCTTCTCTCTCCTCCTTCACTTCACTCAGTTCTTCTCTCTCCTCCTTCACTTCACTCAGTTCTTCACTCTCCTCCTCCACTTCACTCAGTTCTTCACTCTCCTCCTCCACTTCACTCAGTTCTTCTCTCTCCTCCTTCACTTCACTCAGTTCTTCTCTCTCCTCCTTCACTTCACTCAGTTCTTCACTCTCCTCCTCCACTTCACTCAGTTCTTCTCTCTCCTCCTTCACTTCACTCAGTTCTTCTCTCTCCTCCTTCACTTCACTCAGTTTTTCTCTCTCCTCCTTCACTTCACTCAGTTCTTCTCTCTCCTCCTTCACTTCACACAGTTCTTCACTCTCCTCCTTCACTTCACTCAGTTCTTCTCTCTCCTCCTTCACTTCACTCAGTTCTTCTCTCTCCTCCTTCACTTCACTCAGTTCTTCTCCCTCCTCCTTCACTTCCATCAGGTCTGACATGAAAGAAAAACGTACATTTTCACTCAAAATAATTTTGAATGAATGGATATGTAATACACAACTGCTATAAAATGTTACAATAGTTTGTATGCCTTTTTATAAATGAATTATATGTCCAAGAAACTTTTTATGAATGAGGTACACTGATCTTTCAATTATTATTTTAAAAACATTTTAGACAGTCATTGTGTCCGCATAACGTTCGGTAATATTTGAAAGTACCTGTCACAGTGTGAACACTTGTAAGGTAGACAAATCCTATGTTTCTGTAGCAAGAACTATTAAATATATTTGATCAATAACACAAATTCTAACGTGATATTAACATTAAAACACACAATACTGACATATTTTAACATCAACTTTTAGATTTGTATTTATGTTATTAAAAACGTTTTAATTATTAAGTGCTGGTCAAACTAAACTTTTCCTTCTATTTACTTCATACACATGTGAATCTGGGTCACCGGAAACACAAGCTCAAATGAATTTTGCTTTAAGAAAGAACACATATTTTGCAGTAAAGTGGAGTATATTGTAAATCTGTACTTTTGGAATGATTATTATTTGTTATATACGTTTGTAAAAAGATGTCGCAGAATGTGTCTGTAGAAATTTCACATGCTCAAAGTGTAGACTGACCGCAGCTTTAATCGGTTTTAAATTAATAATTATTATTAACATTATCAGAACATTTCTTAAAGTTGTGACACTCAGGAAGTGACATCATCTGGGCTCTTTCTACAGCCTGATGGGAGGACAAGAAAATAATCTTAATCCATTGTCTCAGTTTTTACACAAACTGTACAGTGTTGGTAGGGCTGGACAATAATTAAATATCAATATATATCGCAATATTTTTTTTCCAATAACGGTGATATGATTTTTAAACACATTTTTAATATTTCAATATACATAACAGCATTTGCTGACTGACGTTAGGCGCGCAGCCGTCAGAAAGAGCAGAAGACAATTGGCTACTTTCGTGATGACGAACACCACACACACACGCAGCTAGTGCTCAGCAGTAAGAGGCTGGTCTCCAACGCGGCAAGTTTTAGCTACAAAATGAGCGCCCCCGACCGTAATACAAATGTGACTGAACAGGCTTCCACAAGTGAAGAGAAAGCAGTTGAAATAGTTGATAAGAGAGGACAGACTAATTCAGTGGTATGGAAGTGGTTGGGCTATCTGAGATCTGATAAACTTCAGGTTTCAGCGTTCCGGAGAGTGGTGCCGACTATCGATCGAAATTAATTAAAATCGAAATCGATCGAAATTAATTCACAATCGTCGATACTGCCACGCCCCCATCTCACGTCAGTTCGGCTTGCCAAGCGGAAAAAACACGGCGTGTTGAAGTGCTGCAAGTCTATGGTCAACCTCCTCTAACTTAGCTACAGCCATTCAAAAGATAGTATGGCAACTACAGATGCAGGAGACCCATCAACAGAACGTGAACCCCTCCTCTTTCATTGAAGTCACAGACTCGCAGGTGTGGAAGTTTTTTGGGATTTCCAGTGAGTAATGTTGACAACGTTCGCGCTTCAAAAAAGCCACAGTTTGCAGACATCCAAAGTCTCGCGGAAGTTCCGGGAGTCTCCCGCATATTGATAGCGGCTCCCTGATGCACGTAAATTAGTTAAAAGTAATCTAGAGTGAGCGAGCAAGAGCGAGCGTGCGAGACAGAAAAAACTGTGCTCCAAACCGTATTGCGTGCACGGCACGGCAGAGAGGGAGAGAGCGAGAGACCTTGCGTGTGTGACTCATGAAGCGCATGTAAGACATAGAGCATCCTGATTGGCCGATTGATAAAAATCGGGAATCGAATCGAACCGTGACCTTAGAATCGAAAATGAAATCGAATCGAGGATTTGAAGAATCGTGACACCCCTAGTGCCGACTAGCAGCGGGAACACATCAACCTGTTCCAACCCTGAAGCAGTTCCACCCGATAAAGCAGCACAAACCAGACTTAACCGGCACAAACGAAGCACAAGCAAACAAGACTTTTTTTGCATGAATTTGGAGCATGTTGGAGTGACCTCAGAAAGACCAATACATATGATTTTAATTTCTAAGAAACCGAGACTTCACGCAGTGATTGACAGGGCGAGAGGGGGCGTGATCGGCTCGGAATGCATTTTCAATTTGCACATTGAATTTTGCTACATTCATTGCCGGACATTTAATGAAAATGCAATTGCGAGTGTCTTAACTGTGAGTGTAAATGCAATTAAGAAAAATAACATTTAAATGATCATTTTGCTATAGTTTTTGCTTGAACATGTTAAACATACACTCACCTAAAGGATTATTAGGAACAACTGTTCAATTTCTCATTAATGCAATTATCTAATCAACCAATCACATGGCAGTTGCTTCAATGCATTTAGGGGTGTGGTCCTGGTCAAGACAGTCTCCTGAACTCCAAACTGAATGTCAGAATGGGAAAGAAAGGGGATTTAAGCAATTTTGACCGTGGCATGGTTGTTGGTGCCAGACGGGCCGGTCTGAGTATTTCACAATCTGCTCAGTTACTGGGATTTTCACGCACAACCATTTCTAGGGTTTACAAAGAATGGTGTGAAAAGGGAAAAACATCCAGTATGCGGCAGTCCTGTGGGTGAAAATGCCTTGTTGACGCTAGAGGTCAGAGGAGAATGGGCCGACTGATTCAAGCTGATAGAAGAGCAACTTTGACTGAAATAACCACTCGTTACAACCGAGGTATGCAGAAAAGCATTTGTGAAGCCACAACACACACAACCTTGAGGCGGATGGGCTACAACAGCAGAAGACCCCACCGGGTACCACTCATCTCCACTACAAATAGGAAAAAGAGGCTACAATTTGCAAGAGCTCACCAAAATTGGACAGTTGAAGACTGGAAAAATGTTGCCTGGTCTGATGAGTCTCGATTTCTGTTGAGAATGAGAATGACAGAATGAGAACATGGATCCATCATGCCTTGTTACCACTATGCAGGCTGGTGGTGGTGGTGTAATGGTGTGTGGGGGATGTTTTCTTGGCACAATTTAGGCCCCTTAGTGCCAATTGGGCATCGTTTAAATGCCACGGCCTACCTGAGCATTGTTTCTGACCATGTCCATCCCTTTATGGCCACCATGTACCCATTCTCTGATGGCTACTTCCAGCAGGATAATGCACCATGTCACAAAGCTCGAATCATTTCAAATTGGTTTCTTGAACATGACAATGAGTTCACTGTACTAAAATGGCCCCCACAGTCACCAGATCTCAACCCAATAGAGCATCTTTGGGATGTGGTGGAACGGGAGCTTTTTGCCCTGGATTTGCATCCCACAAATCTCCATCAACTGCAAGATGCTATCCTATCAATATGGGCCAACATTTCTAAAGAATGCTTTCAGCACCTTGTTGAATCAATGCCACATAGAATTAAGGCAGTTCTGAAGGCGAAAGGGGGTCAAACACAGCATTAGTATGATGTTCCTAATAATCCTTTAGGTGAGCGTATAATAATAATTTTTGGGTCCCACTTTATTTTATGTGGCTTTAAGTACTATGTACTTACATCAAAAAATAAGTACAATGTACTTATTGTGTTCACGTTGTATTGTCAAACACTTTTGCTGCTGTTGAGACGTGATACGGGTAAGGTTAGGGACAGGTGTGGTGTGATACTATACGGGTAAGGTTAGGGACAGGTGTGATACGGGTAAGGTTAGGGACAGGTGTGATACGGGTAAGGTTAGGGACAGGTGTAATAAGGGTAAGGTTAGGGACAGGTGTGTGTGATACGGGTAAGGTTAGGGACAGGTGTGTGTGTGATATGGGTAAGGTTAGGGTCAGGTGTGTGTGATATGGGTAAGGTTAGGGACAGGTGTGATAAGGGTAAGGTTAGGGACAGGTGTGTGTGATACGGGTAAGGTTAGGGACAGGTGTGTGTGTGATATGGGTAAGGTTAGGGTCAGGTGTGTGTGATATGGGTAAGGTTAGGGTCAGGTGTGATACGGGTAAGGTTAGGGACAGGTGTGTGTGATACGGGTAAGGTTAGGGACAGGTGTGTGTGATATGGGTAAGGTTAGGGTCAGGTGTGTGTGATATGGGTAAGGTTAGGGTCAGGTGTGATACGGGTAAGGTTAGGGACAGGTGTGTGTGATACGGGTAAGGTTAGGGACAGGTGTGTGTGATATGGGTAAGGTTAGGGTCAGGTGTGTGTGATATGGGTAAGGTTAGGGTCAGGTGTGATACGGGTAAGGTTAGGGACAGGTGTGTGTGATACGGTAAGGTTAGGGACAGGTGTGTGTGATACGGGCAAGGTTAGGGACAGGTGTGTGTGATACGGGTAAGGTTAGGGACAGGTGTGGTGGTATTGGTCGGTATAAGGGTGGGTTAAGGTGTAAGGGAAGGGTCAACTGTGTAATAACAAATGTAATTACATCAATTACAGTTGTAATTACATGCTGGTATTTTTAAAATATAAGTACAATGTAAAAACATGTATGTACACAATAAGTCCATTAATTTCAATGTAAGTACATAGTACTTAAAGCCACTTAAAGGTGGGGTAGGTAGAATTTTTCTAAAAAACTTTTCCCAAATTTGTTTAAACTGTCTATATATACCAATAGATAATTAAACTGTAAGTACTCTAAAAAATAAAGCAGGGCTCGACATTAAGGCTTGTCCGGGACAAGTGGATTTTTTTGTAGGACAAGTGGAAGAGAAAATTAGTTGTCCCACTGGACAAGTTCAATTTCAAACAAAATAAAATGCCATGTTACTTCACGTTATGTGCCACTCTTTACGTCTATTTTACAGATTTAATTTTACCGATTTGAAATGAAGAAATTTTTCGCACTGCCTGTGAATGTCCTGAATGTGACTCATAAAAAGACGCGCGCCAGAATACAATAACACACACAATTATGTGTGTGAGAGATCCACGTGTCAGATCCGCGTCTCTGTCAGAAGCGCTGCTCTTAAAGGGCCAGCTGCCAATAAA